GAAAGTGCAAATAAAGCAAAAATAAATACTCATGTAAGATTAGCTCTAACACTTAATGATTCTAGTATAATAATTGATTTATGTGAGCATAATGAAGGAAAGTCAAACAAATATAAAATATTTTGAGATATAGCAGCAAATTATCTTATGAGAAAAGCTTCAGATTTAGTTACTGCAGTTAACGAATGCTATCATGATCTAATTGTATATCTTGTCACAGCTATTTCAGCAAAAGATCTACTTCAAGAAATTAAATTGATGTATTCACCTAATATACTAATTTCTAGTAAGCAGTAGCTCAGCTTACAATTCTGGCCCAAAAATCTAACATACAAAAATAGTTTGCAGTATACAAGTTATCTGCTATTAAAATTTATAGTATAAGCTCGATAATTACGTGCTAACTACTCAGATGTATATTATGCATCTGTACTATTTAGATATGAAAATGAGTTTGCTGTTAAGTTTCATAATGTGTCAATACTTGTTTTTCTTGATAACAAACATCGATATAAAATTGGTGAGCCAGGGTATCCAGTAGCAGCAGTAGATAGGGGTAAACAGGTAATAGTTGAGAAAGATACAAAATTTGTAGTAAATGACTATGATTTTACCAAAACTAGAATAATACCAAATGTAACAATGCTATATAATATTCCAGAAAAAATTGATGGTGATTTCTACACAAGAAAGGTAAATATCTGTTTAAAGGAACTAATATTTCAGCTATCTTCCTCTTTATGATATATAGCAGAGCTCTATAATATTCTTTGAATACAAGAAACAAGCAAATTTGTATTATGTTTATACACAGATAGAGGTCCCGATCACAGATGTACATTCATTAGAGTTCAATTATCATATATTTGTTTATTTTTAGAGCTTGATCTTAATTATCTTATTGCTATAAGAACACCACTATATCACTCATAGAAAAATCTTGTTGAATGCATCATGTTAGTACTAAATCTAGGATTGCAAAGTGTAGAGTTAATATGTAGCAAAATGGAAGATAATTATGAAAAACTTCTTAGTAAGATGAATATAATGAAAGAAATTAGAGAAATAGCAGAATCAAATCCTACATTCCAAGATAAGCTAATTGAAAGTATTCAAACCCCTATTTATCTTGTTCGTGAAATATTTAAAAGGCAATATTTAAAAGATATTCTATTTGAAATATTTAATGCTATATTAGATGAGGAAATAGAAGTTTTTTGGAAAGTAATTTACCAGATTGATAAGACTATAACTCATGATGATAGTACTAAGAAATATATAAAACAAAGAGTAAGTGAATATTATAATTTGAAATCAAAATAATAAGACAATAAAAAAAAAATAAAAAATAAGACAATAAAAAAAAATATAAAAAAAAAAAAAATTTTATATCTATATTTTTTCAAGCAATGCTTGAAAGACTTTTATGAATATTGTTGTACAACTCATCATTATTCTTTTACAATAAAGAAATGTGGAAAGGATAATTGTACAATATGCAAACTGCCCCAGTGTTCTTTTTGAGATATTTAATTAACTCCATTGCCTCCCTGATCCAATTCCAAGAAATAATTTCCACTATAAATCTTTCAAGAAGTTATACAGTACTATAATAACTGAAAGGTATAGACCTTCGTATCAAGAAACAATGCTTCAATCATAATCTAAGAAAATTAAACAAAAAAACAGATCAAAGCACACAATGCCATTTTGCTCTACTGCATTATGTGCTAAGAATGTGGGAATTACTATTACTTGTACAGAATATAATAAATCACAACTTCTGTTAAGTGCAAAAAAGATATCAGATAAGGATCGTCAAATACTTCATCAATTTCTAGATACAATCCTATATACTTGTAGAATATTATTTAAAAATACTAATGAATTAACTTCAGCTAATAGATGTCTCGATGATAATGATAATACAATATTACCTAAAATAGTAAAGTCTCTAATTGAATCCAATAATGAAAATGGAAATGATAATAGTGAAAAAAGTTCTAATTTTGAATATGATATTGCCGTATCTGATAAAGAGGATAATCAAAATGATCATGATACTGTTAAGCCTAAAAATTTTGATAGTAGTGAAGATACGATTAGTGACTCTATTCAGAAGCTTTTTACTCATATTTTTGTAAATGATTCTAGAACATATGCTTCTCCTATCGAAAAACTATATTACTCAGCAAAATTTATCCTAATATATGTTGTAATTGCGATATTACTAATGTTGAAAGAGTAGAAAAAAATATATACTTGACATGTAACAACTGTAATACAAATTTAAAAAGACGTTATAAATAGGTACTAATAGATAAAAGCAGTAAAAAGTCTTGTAATAAAATTATAGATGCAGATACTTGAAGATGTATAGTTATGTCTAATTAATGTATCATCATATCAAAACTGTCATAATTATATAAGACGCATAGCTGACATTTTATATATATAAATTAGTTACGTCAATATAAAGAATATATCAATAAATATGATTATATCAATATAAAAAGTTGCATCAAATTTGTTTATTATAGGAAATTAAAAATTGTTGAAAATTAAAAAAAAAACTATTTTAACAGTAATAAATTCATTCCATACAGATATTTCAGATAAGATTGTTCAATTATATGTACCAATTCCTAAATTGAAATATAAATAATAGAGTGATATATGTTACAATATACATCAATATTATAGGACAAGGCAAATATTACGGAATATAAAATATTATGGTACATATCTAATGTTATAGCAAGTGCTAATAAGCTTTTTTGATTATCATATATTTTTGAATTATTAGTTATGAAATACTAGTAAATATTGTCAATGCTATAGAAACATTAGTTATATGTAGCTTTTTGACATATCATCATATCTTCTGAGTTACGTCAAATTAATATTAAAATATCTACATCACTTGTATAAGTTTGCATCTATAAATGAAATAGAGAACATTAGTTATACGTAATAGCTAATGCATTTTATATCTGATAATATTATATGTATTACCAATCAAATTATGTGATGTACATCTTATGCGTAATTTTTTTGTAATAAAATTTGGTCAATTCTGATTGGTTAATTTCTTATCGCATCTGAAAATTAAAATTTCTTATCTTGGGTCTGATGACTCACTTGGTTATGAAAACCAATTATATGAGTTTGCATAGTCTTATAATTATTTTTTTAATATTTTTGTATTTTAAAAAAATAAATCAGAGCTAAATGAATTCAAAAATATAGGTAAATTTGTTTGCATTAACCTATCCCTTAAACCATATTCTAGGCAAATTTGTTTAGAAAATTTTTTTTTTTTTTTATTAAATGATAATATCAGATAGGAGAAGAATTAGTACATTTATATATCAAGATGAAATATATGTAAAGCTAATGAGATTCCTATAATGCATTGCTGTTACTAATGTAAGTTAGTCATTTCAATATAATTAATTTTTTCAAAATCTAGGCTAGTTTGTA